GCTAACATACGATCAACTAAAGGGTATAAAGGGTATATATTGTGGCGGTTTGTGTAACTGATTTTTCGATTAATACGTTGAGTGCTTTATTAGTGGAAGCATTAAATGGAATTATATTAGTAATCATTCGTAGGTTATTTAATTTGGTAAGTATTTGACCGGTCATCATTATTTAAGCTTAGTTCACCTACGTATTTAGTTTTGGTTGGCAATTGACTTTTTGATGTTATTATATTGAATACAATCAGTTATTTTGGAATCTTTTGATACATTATAATTGTTGTTATATTTCAATTCATACATATTCATTTCATTTGCATTATATATTCATTCTTGTGCATCACATTATAATATATTTGCACATGTTTCATGTGTATTACATTGATTCTAATGTGTTATATACGAATTATTTGCACAATACTTTTTCATGTGCATTTGTGCGTATGATATTGGCTCTTGTGCTTAAGATACTTTTTTTAATTTTACTTATACATATTACATGGTAGATAATGGTTCTTGTGCATTAGATTTTAGTGGTTGTGTGCCTGATGTATATTCGTGTGCATGCGGTAGCTGAAGTTGTTTATTGTGGTCATTTATATACATATTATACTTATTTTTTCAAAACAAAATTATATATGACATATTGATGTCATATGAAAGATAATTAAAAAAAATATTTAATTTGATAAATTTATTCATGTGCTAACATATATATTATCCAAACAAAGAGTAAGATGTTCGGTTCATGTGCTTTAAATATTAATTGTCGTGTGTGATACTGATTCTTGTGTGTTATATATTAGTTTAAGTTGTGTGAAATTCTTATTGTGTGTAGTAGTTTTTAATTGTTGTGTTAGACACTGTTCTTTGTGCATTAGATATTGGATGTTGTGCTTAAGATACTTGTTTTAGTTTTTCTTACACGAATTGTGTACTAGATACTTGTTCTTGTGTGTTATATATTAGTAGTTGTGTGTCAGATACATATTCTTGTGTATGCGTAGTCAAAGATGTTTGTTGTGGTTTATTGTATACATATTATACTTATACTCCGTATTTTTTAAAACAAAATTATATATGACATATTGGTGTCATTTGAAAGATAATAAAAAACTCTTTAATTCGATATAATTTTTGTTAAAATAAGATTATAATTAAAAAAGTTAAATCAATTTTTAAACTAAAATATTTTATATGATTTGACCTTTTATCTTTTCCTAATTTTTTGGTAAGTGATAAAGTTCCAACCGATGCCACATTAAACGATTGCTTAAAATTACTCTAGTGTCCTTCATTAGCCTACGTATGGATTAGATAGTGCAAGAGTATTTATTTCATGTTTGCACTCCCATGATAAATCCATGCATCTCATCCTTTTATGACCTTTAATTTACTATGATGTATGGTTAAGATTTGTTCTCACGTTCTCACAATAAGGAGTGTTCTCATTAGAACCACTCCCTATATATATCTTTAAAATCTTATATATGTCAATGAAGGTTAGGGCATTTAAGGAATGAAAAAAATGTTGGTGTAATCACTAGCTTAATAGGGTTGTACAATACGTTTTACGATCAGTACTCTACTAAAGGAACTTAGAAGCTGTTCTCTTCGTCTGATCTGAATGTTTCTGATCTGAATTTTTTAAGTTCTGATCTGATCTGATCTGAATTTTTCTGATCTGATCTGATCTGATCTGAATCTTTCTGATCTGATCTGATCTGATCTGAATCTTTCTGATCTGATCTGATCTGATCTGAATCTTTCTGATCTGATCTGAATGTTTCTGATCTGGTCTGATCTGATCTGAATGTTTCTGATCTGATCTGAATCCTTCTGATCTGATCTGAATCTTTTTGATCTGATCTGATTTGAATGTTTCTATGATTATAATTATGATTATGATTATAATTATAATTATTATAATTGCAATTACAAATATAATTTAAATAAAATTATAATTATAATCGTAACTATAATAATAATAATAATAATAATAATAATAATAATAATAATAATAATAATAAAAATTAAATTTAAAATGAAAAAATTTATACCTATTACACTAATTATAAATATAGATATAATTATAACTGTAATTATATTTTTAATTATAATTACTTATATAATTATAATTGTAATTATAATTACAATATTTATCTCTTAATTGTAACTATAGTTATCAATATTATTATAATTACTCCGTAAAATAATTACAATAGTAATAATAATAATTATTATTATTATAATAAAAATAATAATTATAATCATAAATTATAATATAATTATAAGTATAATTATAATTATTATAATTATAATTAATAATAATTATAATTATATTAAAATTAATTATAATATTATAATATAATAATATAATTATAATTATAATTAATAGGAATTATAATTATATTAACATTAATTATAATATTATAATATAATAATATAATTATAATTATAATTAATAATAATTATAATTATATTAACATTAATTATAATATTATAATATAATAATAGTACTATAAATACAATTAATATTATCATAACGATATTATTATATTAATATTATTATTACAATATATTAATAATAATACGATTATTATTATTAGTATTATATTATTATAATATTATATTATAATTATAATTATAATCATAATTATAATTATGATTGTAATTATAATTATAATTATAATTAATTATAGATATAATTATAATAATTACAATTGATTATACTTATAATTATAAGAATTATAATTGTAATTATAATTATAATTACATATAATTATAATATAATATTATAATTATATTAATCATATTATTATTATATTGTAATAATAATAATAATAATAATAATAATAATCTTCTTAATAATTGCATTTATATTACTATTATTATATTAAAATATTATAACTATTATTAATATCTTATTTCTTTATCATATTATTATTAATATATTAATAATAATTATATAATAATAATAATCATAATAGTAATAACAATATTAATAATAATAATTAATATAATAATAAGAGTGATAAATCATGTTTGAACTTTTCTGATCTGATCTGATCTGAATGTTTCTGATCTGATCTGAATGTTTCTGATCTGGTCTGATCTGAATCTTTCTGATCTGATCTGAATCTTTCTGATCTGATCTGATCTGATCTGAATCTTTCTGATCTGATCTGATCTGATCTGAATCTTTCTGATCTGATCTGATCTGATCTGAATTTTTCTGATCTGATCTGATCTGATCTGAATAAAATAAGAATAAGCAATAAGTAATAAGAATAAGACGAACAGAACAGCACCTTAATTTTCCGTTTATTTCCGTCTCTGCTCACTCTCAGCCGTTCCATTTCCGTGCAGACGGTGCAGTTATCGTCAGCTTGAACGGACTTCCGGTTTCTTCCTCTCTCAGCGGCTGGCCTGGTCCATACGCACCCTAACTTCACTGAGATGTCCATCGATCGTTTCTGGCGCCAACCGTCTAGGTATGTTTCCATTCCGTTTTCTCCATTTCTTAGTGAAGTTTGTTCATCTCCCTCCTCATTAGTATGTTCCCAGCATCAACTAGGAGACTCTTGACCTTACATCCCCAGGTTTTGTGCTTCGGTTTTTAGGATTCTGGGAAATGCTAGGAAATGAAAGAGTGCTTGGATTCCGGGAGATACTAGAAATATGGGAGAAAATGCTAAGGTTTTTTTTTATCTACAAAAGCAAAAAGACCATATTGAGAGGGTTAATTAGGGGCAGAGTGATTGACGGTAAAACTACGGAAATCTAGTGATCGATGAGCAGTTATGCGTGACTTTAAATCAAATATCACTTTTTATGTGTTTGTTACCAAATTTACAATCAATATAAATCAACCATTATTCTAATTATAAGTACTAGATTTTTAATTTAAGATTTCCGTATTTCAACTAAAGAGCGAATGGCATGGCTCATGAAGGTTTTAAATTTACGTCTCTTCTAATCTTACTGTCTTCTTATTGCAGATGTGGAAGAAATAATGTTGTTAGCTTATACTTCGTACTTCGGTTTTTTCAAAATGTTATCACTGTTTTCAAACACATGGTCTAGTGGTCTACATTTGTTTGCCTTGATTTAGTTAACAACAGTATTTATATTATCAGTTATTTTGTGTACAACAGTAAACTTACAACCGAAATTCTCTGGATAGGCTACCTAGGCATTAGACTACAGTTAACTTCAAGAAATTATTTGAGTGTCTTCCCGATTGAATTTTTAGCTGAAATTTGGTATGGATAAACTAGACTTTATGAAGAACATGCTCAAAAAATTTCATCAAAAAAATCCACCGTGAAGTGCCCGAAATGCCCTCGGCAGGACGGAGCATCCCGTCAGGCCGGCCTGACATGAAGACTACTCTATATATATATATATATATATATATATATATATATATATATATATATATATATATACTCCTTATATAACATTGGGCACTAGGATACTCGCGCAACGCGCGATACAAAAACTAGTATATATATATATATATATATATATATATATATATATATATAGAGAGAGAGAGAGAGAGAGAGAGAGAGAGAGAGAGAGAGAGAGAGGACTGCTCAGGTCCCTCCGGAGGGACGGGAGCAGCCATCCGAACTTCACTGTTTGGGGCGGTTCCCGGTGGAATTTTTTGATGAAATTTTTTGAGCAGGTTCCTCATCAAGTCTAGTTTGTCCATACCAAATTTCAGCTCCAAATTCGACCGGGAAGGCAGTCAAATAAATTTTTGAAACTTACTGCACTTCATTACACCTCAATTTGGGGTGTTAAAAAAGTAATGAATATAGGTGTTAGGAAGGGTATAGTTAACACCCTTAAACACTTATTAACACTTCCCATTTTTTCTAATTTTTCTCCCAAATAAGTGTCGAACTAAACACTCCCTAACACTTCCATTACTAACACCCGCTAACACTCAATTATTAAGGTAATTCATTTTATTCTCCCAAAACAAAGGTAAAATTATGTTAACACTTGACTTCGCTTCACTTCCGATACCTCACTCTCCACAGGAACTCTTACACCATTTCGTTCCCCCATAGAAATTCATCAGTTCAGAATTTGATGATTCGATCTACTTCATCGAAGTGTAGTCAAACTTCTCAACTTTCTCCATTGAGTTCGGCCATGAGCGCAGGCATTTCATAGCAGGTATTTTCATTTCATCTTAATTTCCTAATTTCAGTTTGATTTTTGTTTGCTTTAATTTCATTTGCCTTAAGATCAGTTTGATTTCGCTCATCCATAGAAATTTATAATTCTTCATTTCAGAATCAATCTACTTCATCTAAGTTTAGTCAAATTTCTCAACTCTTTCCCTTGAGTTCGGCCATGAGCGCAAGCATTTCATAGCAGGTATTTCCATTTCATTTTGATTTCCTAATTTCAGCTCGATTTTCGTTAAAATTATATAAACTATTGTTCGATTTCATATCAGGTATTTTCATTTCATCTCCATTTCCTTATTTCAGTTTGTTTTTTGTAGAATTATATAAAGTATTATTGGATTTCTGGCCGAAGGGTATCATCATCAATTGAGAACACAAAGTTCGCTGTTTTCCGTTCCTAAGGGTTTTATTCCTCTCTTGAGAACACAATTACTAGACGACAATGATACTCTCGGGTTTCATTCCTTTTTATTTCCATTTCAATCTGTTCATTTTTTACCATTTGTTTTGCTTCAATCTTCCTTCTAATTTTTCTCATCTTCATTGGGTTCTTTAGTTTACTGGGGAAAACAATATTTTAGTTGCAATATTTGAAATAGATTACTAATGAACACTTAATTTACTGGTTTTGGTTTGATCTAATTACTGAAAATTTTCTGGTTCAATAATATCTGAATTCTGAATGAGTTGTTTACTGAACTCTGTGATTTATTGGTAGCAGTTGTCAGCGTTGAACAATATTACATTTGCAATATTTGGAAACAGATTACTGTTAATTACTAAATGTATTGGTTTTGCAGTTTTGCCTTAAATCTATTTATTTGGTTTTTAGCATCTTTGGATCATGGTGGGTTTGATTGAGAATTTCTTAGCATATGGATAAAGATGAAGTTTCTTTTTCAATTCATCTCTGTTTTTCCTATCCAATTCATTTCAATTCTTTAGTTTGATTCCTGGCATTCTTGATTTATACAAGATGCTTAACTTTTAATTTTAATCCAAATATGATTATCTTTCCCATTAACTTCATTTCACTTATTTGATCTCATTTGTTACCATATGTTTTGCTTCAATATTCTCATCTTCCATGAAACTATATTGTTCCTACAAGTCACTCTACTATTTAAGCCCATTCACTTAAATATTGGAGTGCAGTTTTAATTAGTTATAAATTAAGACTGGACTATAACTCATATCGACTTTTGTTTTGTTTTGTTTTCTTTGTTTCATTTCTTGAGTCCAAAAATGCAATTTTGAGTAAGTTTAGTGACTAATCCTCTCTATTTTTACTAAATTAATTGACAGATGCTCTATTTATTTATTACTAAATTGATCACAACTGACAAGGTGTGGTGTATTGATTTTTAATAATAGCAGTACTTTAATTTGTGATGGTTTTACTTTCCCACCAGTTTTAAAAGCATCTTAGCCCCCTCTATTTATTAAGTTTGTGTGCAAATCATTTGATTATTTTATGTTTGTCTCTAACTTTGAACATGAGACATTTCTTTAATTTATCCTCTGTTAGTTGTTCTTCTCACAGTGTGTTTGTTGTATGTAGGCAAGTGTGCATGTGCGGTCTCATTTCAACCAAGTCTGATGTGATGAACTCTATTACAATGAAAATACTACGTATAAAAGACTACTCATCATTTCCATGGAAGAAAAGTTGAGAGCATGCACACGCACCAGTGAGTTCTATATTTCCACTTATGCATACACACTTGGTTGATTTAATATTATTTTACATATGTTTGGCCTGGCGTATAAGATTCTTACACATTTTTGACTACTTTGTTATTCAGAAAACTCCATTGAACATGTAAGAATCACTTCGGCACTTGACCAATAAGTTCAATAGTTATAATGGTTCAGTTTCACCATAAACGTTAATCAGTAATATGATGAATAAGAAATACTTAAATTGATACATGTCTGCACCTATTTTAGAGTTCAAGTGAAAATCTAGGAATGAGTTAGTAGTCTACGGCAATCCTTGTGTTTTTATAAAATAAAAACTTAGAGAATAAATGATAGTTTGAATATACCTCGAAGTCTTTAACTATTTAAGGGAAAACTGTCAAATAGGTCCTCGTACTATTGTCAAAAAGTCAATTAAGTCCTCATACTTATAGATCGGTCAATTAAGTCCACCAACTCTTAAAAAACAGCCAATTTTGCTGTTTAGCCGGTTGGATATATATTTTACCGGTTAGTAGCTGATGTGGAAGCAAATGTGACAATAATTCTGACTTTTCCTTTAGCTCGTTTCTTCTTTTTTCTTTTTCTCTTTTTTTTTTCTCTCCTTTCTTTGCTGACTTCTTCTTCCGCCTACTTGCAGCGACGATCTTCTATTTTTTTTCTTTATTCCTCTTCTCTCTACGCTGTCTTTCTCCTCATCCAATTTCTTTCTTTTCCAATCTTCTTCACTTCTTCCATTCTTCCCGGTTCTCATTTTTTGGATGGGCAGCGAGCGCCGGCGGATGGCGGGCGGAGGGTGAGGAAGACATGGAAGGTGGGCGGCATGCGGAGTCAGCTAGGTAAGCTTTGGCTGTGGGGGGCTACGGGAGGCGGCTGACGGCGGTTGAGAAGTGTAGTTGACGGGCGGCGAGCGGCGGCTACTAGGTGATAGATGATTTGCTGGCTACCGGCGATAGGCGGCAAATTTAAGAAGTCGTGGGCGACGAGCGATCCCCGATGGCGGTTGGAGAAGTCAGAGAGATTGGCGATTAGACAAGTTGTGGCTTTGTGGGCGACCGGCATTTAGACGAGCTGCGGCGCGGCGGCGGCGACGGTTGGTGGTTAGCGACCAATGAGGAAGAGATGGGCTGCGAAGGTTGATGCCTTTTGTGGAAAGAATTACTATGTAGAATAAGAAAGAAAGAGAGAATGAAAGAAATAAGGAAAGAAGAAAAGAAAAAAATGCAGAAACGCACACAGGTAAAAGCAGGGAAGAAGAAGTGTGAGAGGAGAAGAAAGAAGGAGAGGGAAGGAGAAAGGAAAAGAAAGTGAAAAAGGGAAAAACAAAAAATCCAAATGGACTGTCATGTCTGTGCACTTGACCTTCAACCGGATGCCAACCGGTTAAATGGCCTATTTGAGTGTTTTTTAATAGTTGGTGGACTTAATTGATTGAGAGATAAGTACGAGGACTCAATTAACTTTTTGACAATAGTAGGAGGACCTATTTGACAGTTTTCCCAACTTTTAAACATCTAGTTAAAATGCACTCGAGCCTTTAGAATCCGTGAGCTTTTAAAAATTTGTCTCTAATTCCTTATATAATAGTAATACATTTCGTCTAATTTCATTCGTAGTACTCCTTCCGTCCCTCAAAACTTTGTCAGGTTTGATCATCACGAGGAATAATGAGATAAAAACTGTGTGGTAAAGATTTGTGCAGATGAGAGAAAAATAACACAATTTGATTAAATGATTCAAAAAAAAAGTGACAAAGTTTTTTAGACTTGTAGAATACACCCCGGGGGGGGGGGGATAAGCTAACGAACTATTAGCGATTATGCAATCACACCCTGAGCCGGAAAAGTTACAAATACACCATCAACTTATTGAAAATTAAATAATCAGATTCTTTTTTGGTATCAATAATTTCTCATCAGAAAGTTATCCTTACACGCACTAAGGGTATGTTTGGTTTAGGGAATGTTAGATTACCATGTGAATGTCAGATTGTTGGGTATATTAGATTGATGGGAATGTATCCAATTTATTCCCATTTGTGTTTGGTTAAGATTAAGGGAATGTGATATTAATTTACTTGGTTGAAAGATATCTTATATTGCAGATATGGTGAATTACTTCAATCCTAAAGTAATTAAAATTAAAGAGAAAATGAAATATCATAATAATAAATAAAATCAAACCTAATTGAATTATTTTTAAGTAAACTATGTTTAATTGTAAAAAGTTGTAGATCCAATTCAAAAGTGAAAAAAACTTTGTTCAATCTAAATATATTTATTATTATTTCAAAAAAAATTAAATTTAAAAAATGTTCAAGTTATTCATAAAACTTCTTTTCAAATTAACGAAAAATGATCAATTTTTCCATTAAATTTTGAAATCCACTCATCAAAAACTTAGGATAATCTATAAGTCTTATGAAATAAATACCTTAAAAAATTTAAATGTCAAGGAAAAAAGAATTATGAAAATAACAAGAATAGACATTCGAATATAATTAAATAAACATACTCCATATGTCCTGCTTAAATGGTTGTCACACAATCTACGATAGACTGACCATAAAATTAACTGATCTCTTTCAATAATAAGATTATTTTTTAGTAAATATAATTTACATATTTAGAAACTACATTAAAAATTTTATAAAATCGCACTATATAAAGAAATTAAATGAAAAGAGATAATTAATTGAGGGTGTTTTCGGAAGAAAATTAGACCATCATCGGGAATGTAAGATAACCTAAGACATGGGTGGTTATAAGATTCCCCTCCATATTACATTCCTGGGAATGTAACTTTTCCCATTTTTTCTCAAACCCGTGAACCAAACGTGAGTATTTGACATTCCGTGCATTACATTCTGGCCTTCATGTGAGATTACCCCAAACCAAACATACCCTAATAGGTAAGAAGGATCAAATTTGATGATATATTTACAAATCTTCCCATTAAGGGTGTGATTGCAGAAGGCCAGAATAAGAATTTATTTGCGATGTCTCTTATTTAATTGAAAAGGAAAAATATTTCTAACTGAAATCCCACTGTAAAATCAGATAGAAGCTTCATGCTCAAAGCTACCAAGCTTATTGTTCTATACAGCAGGAGAACATATCGCAGATTCATTTCCATTGGAGGATCAATCCCAGTTGTAACCAGTCCAGCTCCTACTCAAGAAAACATAACTCGTCTAATACTTGATCAAAAGTCTGTTTCTGAAGCTCTCCAAACTTTCAGATGGGCATCTGATATACCGCATTTCACTCACTCTCGATCCACATTCCGAGCTTTGATTCACAAGTTATGTCTTTTCCGGCGTTTCGACATTGCCTATCAACTGCTAGACGAAATGCGCACCTCAGCTTGTATAACCCCGGATGAAGGCATTTTCATTACTTTTGTCCGCGGTCTTGGCAGGGCTAGAATGATGAAGGAGGTGATCCAAATACCAGAATTGGCATCCAAGTTTGATCTGAACCCTAGTCTAAAGCTCATGAATACTATTCTTGATGTTTTAGTTAAGGAAGATATTGATATTGCCAGAGAGTTTTACAGGAAGAAAATGATGGGATGCAATGGTGTACAAGGAGATGATTACACCTATGCGATTCTTATGAAAGGGCTATGCGCCACTAACAGAATCCAAGATGGATTCAAGCTTCTGCAAGTGTTGAAGAGTTGGGACACAAAACCAAACATTGTGATCTACAACACACTGATGCATGCCCTTTGCAAGAATGGGCAGGTTGGGAGAGCAAGGAGTTTGATGAGGGAAATATCTGAACCTAATAATGTCACTTTCAATATCTTGATTTCTGCTTACTGTAAAGACGATAATTTAGTGAACGCACTGGTGATGCTGGAGAAAAGCTTCAACAAAGGGTTTGTTCCTGACGTTATAACAATGACTAAGATAGTTGAAATTCTATGTAAGAAAGGGCGTCTGTCTGAGGCTGTTGAGATCCTTGAAAGAGTAGAGGGGAAGGAAGGGGCGATTGATGTTTTGGCTTATAATACATTGATCAAAGGCTATTGCAGGTCAGGGAAGGTCAAAATCGGGCTTCGCCTTTTGCATGAGATGGAGAAGAAAGGATGCCTACCAAATGCAGACACATATAATGCATTGATATCTGGTTTATGTGAGTGTTCTATGTATGACATGGCCCTTGATATTTTTAATGAAATGAAAATGGTTGGGTTAAAGTGGAATGCTGCCACTTATGATGCTTTAATTCATGGGCTTTGCTTCGGTGGGAGGATTCAAGATGGGTTCAATATCTTAGCTTTAATGGAGGATAACAAAATGGAGGGTCACATAAGGCCTTATAATGGAATCATCTATGGCCTTTATAAGGAAAACCGTTTGGATGAAGCGTTAGGATTCTTGAGGAAGATGGAGAATACTTTTCCACGTCTAGTAGATAGGAGCCTGAGAATTCTTAGGTTATGCGAAGACGGATGTGTTGATGAAGCTAAAAACACTTACATTCAGATGATCGAAGAAGGTAGGGTTCCGTGTGCTCTGGTTTATGCCAACCTAATCCATGTGTTTTGTGTGAAAGAACGGTTAAGGGAAGCGACTCAGGTAATGAATGAGATGGTCAGGCACGGGTATTTGCCCATTGCTTCAACTTTCAACGCTCTAATCAAAGGGCTTTGCAGGAAGGGTAAAACTGGGAATGCCTTGAAATTTATGGAGGATATTGTGAGTAGAGGTTTCTTTCCTGATATAGAAAGCTATAGTCTGTTTCTTGAAGCCCTTTGCAGCAAAGGAGAGTTCCACAATGCGTTCATCGTCTTTCTACAAATGGTGGAAAAGGGTATTATTCCAAACTCTTCTTCATGGAATATGTTACTTCAATGTTTGCATGAAGAACACCATAGTATGTGCCGCGTGGGTAACCACCAACTCTGTTCCATTATAGAGGCTTAATCATTTTTTAAGTTTTGCCAAAAGGGAAAACTTAATGTATATATGTATTATCTGTATACATAAAAGCACCACATCTCAAAATTTTCCATTTCCCCACCCATTGCATCTTTAATTAGGGCCGTCCGTTCAAATCACCCGCAACTTCCTTTCCTTTGTAACTTCATTTGATAAACCATTATTTGTTTTGTTTATATCCATCTGGTTGAAGATGGCATTTTAGATGATGGGTAATATATAGGAGTATTTTGTTTTTAGAATAAGAAAAGTGGAGTGCACTTGCAAAAATTATACATAAAATCCAAGGGTGTGAAATCCCAAGAATAAGGTAATCAAGTCCAACAAGTGTTCTTTGAGAGGGGAAGGAAGTGAGAATGTTGTATTAGAGTTGCAAAAAGGGCTTGATTACCGGCCCGGTACTGGTACCGGGTTAGTGAGAAGGGTCACACTTCTTAATAATTGTGCCACCTCATCATTTCTCAATGTTATGACTTCTTAGACCATTACGAATATAATGTTCAAGGTAATATTATTAGTGACAAATAGCAACAATCAATATATATATATATATATATATATATATATATATATATATATATATATATATATATATAAAAGAGAAACTTTTTAAGAGCATACGGTGTGCCACATAATCCTGCCATGTCATCATATATAATAATTATTCATTACTTTTTATGCTTTTTATTTTTTATTACATTCTATTTTTTATTGCATATTGATATGGAAACAAAATATTGTACGATTATATAGAATCCACCTTATTTATACTACGTAACATTTTGAGAACCTCTACTTAATTACTCTGTATTACATTGTATGACACGGATCAACATCCTTTTTTTTTTTTTTATTTGTAATAAAAACAAAGTAGATTGAAAATTTATTTGTATGAACTAAATTTTAGATGATGAAGTACGTCATTCATAAAATTTAGTTACAGTAGATTTAATTCATAATTTGTATGACACGGTTCAGCCATCCCTTTTTCATAATTTGGAAAATTCCGTCAATTTAGTCCAATCAGTTAGATTTAATTTATTACAGTAGAGTCAGACAATTCAACTCATTTTGGTATTATCAAACGGCTTTATATGAGACTGAGTTTATTTTGCTTTTAGATCACATTAAATTATACTACGTATATGATTTTGAAAATATCAAATTTACAATTAACTAAATTATGTATTGCCCGTGCATCGCACGGGCTTGAAAGCTAGTAATGAATAAATAAAGTGTTTTATGAATACCCATGTACATGTATATTCAGCGGTGTATGTAGGAGCGAGGAGGATGCATCGGACTGACTCGATACAATGACTTTTTCAAAATAATTTTGTACGCTATAAATAGAACTTTTCAAATTTTGGGTATGTTGCGTTAAGATTCAAAATTTCATCTTAAAGTGTCATTCTGATAAGGAGTTGTCCGAATCTTAATATATCATTTTATTACTTAACAATTTTGTGATGTGGGACTTCAACACCCTTCCTCACTACTAGACACTTTGTATGAGTCGTGTCATCATTCATTTTTCATCGGTTCATGAGTTCGTCGTTATCATTTTTCATAATCATCGTCATATTTTTCATAGGGAGTCCACACCACCGTTATGGATCAATTTGGCTCTGATACAATTTTAAGATCCGAGATTTTATTATAAAAGGTCAACCTTGTAGGAAGAGTAACTCAAATCTTAATTTCTTACTTTATAATTATAACTAGACGAAGTACCCATGCGATGCACGGGGTATATCTAGAATTGAATAATACCCAATTTAATAAATTAATGTTTTACGATGGTATATAATGTATAATTTTCTAAATAAGAATATAGTTTAACGTTTATATAATGTGAGTTTGATTATATACGTTGTAATAGTTGCAGGAAAATTTAAATCGTATGAAAATTACGATATATAATAAAATAAAATAAACAATAATGTGTAACCAAGCTCTACGTGAAAAAACAATTAGCTTTGTGTGACAAAGAATAAGTTGATACTACAATTATTGGTGGGTATCGTGAAATTATATAAAATAAAACAATCATATATGTTGACAATGTAAAAAAAGATTCACAAATTTCGGAAAACTTCTTTATAGACTACATTTTTGGTGGTGTTGATAGCACAACCTTCGTCATCCAATATGAGAATCTTCAACCTATTCCTTGAGGTAACCCTTGACATGGCAACGTATAATTGACCATGCGTAAACATAGGTTTTGGGAGATATATGCTCTCTTGATGTAGAGATTGTCCTTGACTTTTGTTTATCGTCATGGCAAATGAAACGACAATTGGGAATTGCATGCGTTAAAATTTGAAAGGAATTCTGCTATCCGACGGGATCAATGATAGTCGCGGAATCAAAACCTTTTGGTCAATACTTTTGCCAGATATAACCTTCGCCTCTAAAACAAATTTACCCAACCGAGTAATGATCAGGCGTGTTCCATTACATAAGCCAGGGGACTGATCAATGTTTCTCATTAACATAATAGGCACACCAACCTTTAGTCCCAATTTATGGTTCAGGATCCTTGATCCATTGATGGTGTTAAAAAACTCTTGAGTATGCACTCCATCGAATTTGACGCCATTGGTTGAGCCTTTAGGTGAACATGGGCTGTCAAAACTCAAACATGTCCTTGTTTCTCCAGGCATCAATGAAATCATATAATTATTGATAAACTCTACAACATCATTTGTTGGTGTCAAAATAGCTCTTTCCTGAAAATATGTTGGATCCGCTATATTCTCCAGAAATGAAGGATAAGTGCTAGCAACAATTGAAGCGATAGGATCACTTGAAGTGGTAATAAGCATATCATCAGGTATATCAATGAACACATCTCCATCTCTGACGTCCCCAACGTTTCCATCTCCTACTTTGAGCATCAAATCTGAGAAACTTTTCAATTCGTCAACATTACAATGCGGAGAACCACATTGCAGTCTCATGTTTTTTGTCAAAGTGAGAATGTGACAATGTCTCCAAATATATGATGGGAAGTATTTGTCTGAAATCACCACAAAAACAACTTTCCCTCCAAATGGAAGCTTCAAGCTATCACGAAATCTGAGCAAATCCTTTAATGTCCTGGCAACAGCTTCAAAGCAATGTTTGCGTGTCATCGGAGCTTCATCCCATATTATAAGCTTCACTTTGATTATTATCTCAGCTAGATCGCTTCCCAGCTGTTTTATATTGTAAGTGGAGTCTTCATTGACATTAACAATAATCTAAACTATTAATTACTTTTGTATAGCTTCAACAATATGGACCGCCCGCCAATAATGATCCATGACCGCTTATTACCTGCTATAACAGGTCAATTTTAAATAGAAACTAAGTATTTTTTTAAATAACCTGAACTATTCTCGTTCTTCTTTTATTAATCCCAAGCATCAACTCAACTTTTCTTACACAAAGTAGAAAAATTTATTTAAATTTCAATTTTTGAAATTTATAAATGAAAGTTTAACTAAATATAAAAACTTATTGCATTCTAGAAATAAAAAATGTTACATTTTATGTTTCATTCTTATTTTCAGGAAAAAAATTATTTTCGATAAATAACCGTTTTTGGATTCTTTTACAAATTCACGATTTTTATTAAATTTTTAACTAATTTAAAATGATTTAATATTTTAGGATGATTAGCTTTTAATTTTTTATATTTTGAAAATATGTATTAGTATTTTTATCTTTTTCACTTTCATAATTTTGAAAATCAAGGTATTCGTTTTTTAATTATAATTTGTACTTAATTTGAATTTCATTTTCCCTTTAAGCTTTTTATATTGACATTTTTACTCTCCTTTATATATTTAAAATATCTTACATGATATGAAATTTTAATTTTGAAATTCATATAAGTTTTTCCATATTCTATAAATATATATATATATTATATTCTTTAAATCTACAAACTATCTAAAAATAATAATTAAGTAAAAACAATTTTTTATAATCTTTTTTTACCTTTTCTATTTATTTATGCAAATGATAGTAAAGATTATTATAATCTAATATTTGTTGTTTAATTGACTGAACATGTAGCCGTTCACATCAAACCAATAGTGGCGGAAGGCCCCTAAAATTAGGATTATTCTGAAATAATCGATAGTTGAGATTATTATGAGCGGACCGCCAACAGTTGTGATTATTGCTATCGATTTTTCCTTTACTTTTTAACTTAAGATTTTACTTTGTGTGTATTTGTATTATGAGGTTGTACGTTACAAAAAAGTATTTTTTTTTTTGTTTTGTTTTTGTGTTACTTTTACTAAATTAAAAGTAGTGTTTTAAGGGAAAATTGCACTTTGATCAAAAAAAAAGGGAAAATTGCACTATTGATTTCTCAATTAGTCACCATTATGAAATGTTAAACTCGTGTTTATGAGATTGTAAATGTCACCTGAATGGACAAATGTGTGGTAAATGTCATTCCCGGTTAATTATAATTTGTACTTAATTTGAATTTCATTTTCCCTTTAAGCTTTTCATATTGACATTTTTACTCTCCTTTATATATTTAAAATATCTTACATGATATGAAATTTTAATTTTGAAATTCATATAAGTTTTTCCATATTCTATAATTACATATATTATATTCTTTAAATCTACAAACTATCTAAAAATAGTAATTAAGTAAAAATAATTTTTATAATTTTTTTTTTACCTTTTCTATTTATTTATTCAAATGATAGTTTAAATTATTATAATCTAATATTTGTTGTTTAATTGACTGAACATGTAGCCAGACCAATAGTGGCGGAAGGCCCCTAAAATTGGGATTATTCTGAAATAATCGGTAGTTGAGATTATTATGAGCGGACCGCCAATAGTTGTGATTATTACTATCAATTTTTCCTTTACTTTTTAACTTAAGATTTTATTTTGTGTGTATTTATATTATGAGGTTGTACGTTACAAAAAATTTATTTTTTTGTTTTGTTTTTGTGTTACTTTTACTAAATTTAAAGTAGTGTTTTAAGGGAAAATTGCACTATTGATTTCTCAATTAGTCACCATATTGAAATGTTAAACCCGTATTTATGAGAATGTAAATGTCACCTGAATGGACAAATGTGTGGTAAATGTCATTCCCGGTTAATTATAACGGCAGTGATGACAGTTACAACACATTTGTCAATTTGGGGTGACATTTAATTTATAGTCTAAAAAACATGGGTCTGACATTTCACTATGATGACTAATTGAGAGACCAAAAGTGCGATTTTTCCTTTACTTAAATTAGACTACGGAAAATTATATTCTTGAAAGAGAAGTACAAAATATGTCAGTAATTACTTCTATTTAGCTGATAAAACCATAATAGTCATGTTTTTTATTTACAAATATTTTTTTATCTTATTTAAGAAGATTCCAATTAAATTAAACACTTCAAAATATAAAGGTAATCAAATCAAGATGCATTTTAATTTATTATTTTTTTCACTTTTTCCACAACAATAAAAACACTCCACAAAACTTTTTCAACTTCTTTTTATTTAGTTTTGTCAAAAAACTTTGGCATTTTTATATGAAGTAATATAATAAACATGAATAGGTAGTGTTGAGGTTTTGTCCCGTAGATCCGAAAGCCCAACATAAACTTCGGATATTAGGGACGATGAATTCGGTATAAAAGTAAATAAAGTGTATGAACTAGCTATTTTTACGTGGAAATTCGGAAAGGGAGAAAAGCACGGGACTTTTTAGACTAACGTCCAAGCCCGCTCTTTCTTATTAATATGCTCTCCTCACCATTTTCCATAGTACATATTTGGAGCCTCCAGTAATGGAGCTTGAACTAGCTTCTAAAGAATAAGCAGAGAGGAAGATCATGGCAGAAGAGAGCCGTCCTCTCAAATGGGAGCCCTCCTCCCTATTTATAGAAGGGGAGAGGTTTTAATGGGCTATTTCTAATGGGCCAATAAGGCCTAAATGGGCCGTGTTGGGCCAGAATGGCCGAAACGGGCCAGTTGGCTTAAATGATCCTCACTGACTGGGTCCCGTACTGGGGCAGTGTCTTGGGCCTCTGAACAGTAGTAGGCCGGGGTAGTATGCCCTAACAAGTAGAATAGTGACATTAGTGTGTGACACTTTTTCAGTCTCCTTGTAGCTTTGAATAGTTATAGTTTATAAATGGTCGATTAATTAAATTTGCCATTTTTGAACTGTAATGTTAATATAATTTTGTCATATTTATTAATTTAACGTGCAAATCTTACTTATTATATTATTAGCCGAACTGATTACCAACCATATACGAAGTATATATATATAGATAAGAGATCACATGCTAACCATGCTTAAAATACTAACTTACTAACTCAATAATATGCAACACATTGAACTTCAATATGCAGTACAAATAATGCAAAGATGCACACTGTGAATTTCAATATGCAATAAAAACAATATGCAAAACTTTGAACTTTAATATGCAGTACAAATAAAAGATCAGGTCCCTCCGGAGGGACGGGAGGGACCGTCCGAACTTTACTGTTTGGGGCGGTTCCCGGTGGAATTTTTTGATGAAATTTTTTGAGCATGTTCCTCATCAAGTCTAGTTTGTCCATACCAAATTTCAGCTCAAAATTCGACCGGGAAGGCAGTCAAATAAATTCTTGAAACTTTCTGCACTTTATATATGCGCAGAATGTGCAGTAAGCTTCAAGAATTTATTTGACTGCCTTCCCGGTCGAATTGTGAGCTGAAATTTGGTATGCACAAACTAGACTTTATGAGAAGCATGCTAAAAAAAATTTCATCGAAAAATTCCACCGGGAACCGCCCCAAACAGTGAAGTTCGGACGGCTGCTCCCGCCGTAAACTCAATTTGAATGATTCATAGCATTAGGGTATCCCCATTCATGAGCTTATTTGAAGATCAATTGGATGATGTGTAAGATTATTTTAAAGATTATCATTGTTAGTGAGATTATTGAAAAAGAAATTACGATACCAAGATTCAAATCCCGGATTATTTTAGATTGTAGTTAAACTACATTTAGTGCATGTCCAGAAAAAACTGATTATTTGAGTATTATTGTTGATGAAGAGTTTTAAGCATTGAGTTTATTTAGAGTTTATTGAATAAATGTGATGTGTCAATGATGTGTAATAAAAAAATCGTTTATTTAGAAAGCATGAATGGAGATGCTCTTAGCTAATTTACAAATGCATAATCTAGTACTACTTGATTATTGCCCAAATATATATACTCAGTTTTAATGCAATATTAATTACTATGTACCATTTATGCTCTTCAAATTGGCGGGAATTTTCCCTCCAACAATTGCATCAACTTTGTTACTTTATATATATAATATAAAGATTTTCTAGTGTGTGAAACAAGCGGAGGCTTAACGTAACTCCCTATTTACACCCTTGTATATATTATTTTAATTACATCCACATGCATTTTATTTTCATTCACGTAGTATTATTCTTACTACGTCTAGGCCCAACAGGGAAGAAAGTCCAGACGAACGTCTTTGACGAATCGATGACAATTATCCATCAGTGCCCAAGGCAGCTACGACGTACGTCTCCTCCCCAGGCCCTCAGTTCAAGGAGTCCTAACCCAAGGTTAGCCAACATACTCCTATACCAACAGCCGAAAGACGCACGGCCTCCCACCCTTGGCGGCATCATCCAGGACAGACCCAAGGCCCACGGGGACGCTTGTCCCCGATGACTGGGCGGGAAACCAAGATTCTGACGGGAAGCGCATTTAATGCCGGAGATTTGGTGGTTGAGACCTCAGTCATCTACAGCTCTCCACGTCATCATAATCACCTGCCCTTTAGCAGTATAAATATTAGCATTTATTTCTTTGTAAAGGGTTGACAATTTACCCGCCTTAGCATTCTAGCATTCTTATAGCTTTTAGCAGTGTTCGCAACTCTTCTGTTTGAGTGTTAGACGAACGGCCAATGGCCCAATAGCATTAGTGCAGTGTCACCCGGCCCGTGGACAGGCCCGGCCCGCTACTGTGCGGGACCGGCCCGACCCGCTACTGTGCGGGACCGGCCCGGTTCTCGGGTCCGGGTCTGTGTCCGGGTCTGGGTCCGGGTCGGGCCTAGGCCCGGGGGCGGGGCGGGTCCGGGCTCGGGTCTTACATTTGGCGAACTGGCCCGGCTGGGTCGGGCCCGAGTCCGGGCCAAATTGAGTTTTTTTTTTTTCTTTTCATTTTTTGGGGTTCCACCCGGGTTGGGCTTGATGGTTAGGAGAGGTTTGGGGGGGGGGGGGGGTTGGGGTGAGGGGGTTTAGGAAAGCAAAAAAAAACCAAACCGGAGGCCCGGCCCGGACCCGGACCCGAACCGGACCCGGTGGCTACCCGGGCTGGTCCCGGGTCCACCAATTCTGAACCGCCGGCCCACCCGGGCCTAGGTCCGTCCCGGACCCGGCCCGGACCCGGCCCGGCCCGAGGCCATGCCTAATCACTTAATAACACTTGGCCCACTATTGCATATACTTCCAAGCCCATCTTACTTGCTATTTCCTCATATTCACATACACCATCCACTCGAAATCCATAAGCTTACGTATTGGGCTTACGGGTTGAAGGAATAATCTTCAACACTATTCATATCGGAAAGAATACGATTTTATATAGACGGACACAACAGGGCAACAAGTCAATAAAGGTAAAAGCAACTACCAAGTACTTCGTACTACTTTTTTATTAAATGAGTTTGGTGATACACTTGACCTGGACACAAGACGCTTTCGGTGATGGTAGGCTTCATATGGTAAACCAACATTAAATATTATTATAGTTTTCTTTCAAAAGTATAAGTGAAATTAAATTTATTTATAAAAATATTACTAATAACCACTGTAGTATTAATAGTTTGGTCGAAGTTAAAATATATTTTAGATATAACTTTTATTAAATCAGTAGAATCAGCTAATCCAATTACTTTATCCAGAACTTCATAAATTTCAATAAAATCAGTAGATTCAGTCAATTTCAATGTTTCAGACAGGCTCTTTATGAAATTCTGGCAAAAGAGTCTAGATTTGCTGATTTTGCTGATTTATGAAAACATATTTAAAATATTTTTTATTAATAAAATAAAGAAAAATTTATATGAAAAATAGTTAAAGTGGTCTTTTACAATAACTTCAGCCAATTTAGTCAGAAAAGTGACTTCAACTTTACTTATTTTGATTATTACACAATTCAGCGTGCGAAATATAGTGGTATGAAATTAAAAGTTAGTGAAGGCCATAATGTTAAGAAAAATTTTTAGAGTACATGAATTGTACACAAATTGTACACAAAAACCCCTAGTTACTTTTGTACACAGATAATTCATTTGTAAAAAAAAAAAACAAAATTGGCTGTTCACAACAACTTTTATTGGCTCCAATAATACGGACGTTGGGAGTTTGGACGAAGTTTTCCAAGTCTCCGGTCATTTTTTGGATTACGATGAAATATTATACGGAGTAGATTTCTAATATTATTCCATAATTCACTCAGGATGTTTTTACTTGGATCGTAATCTGTCTCAGACCAGACCAGACCAGATCAGACCAGACCAGAACAGACCAGACCAGACCAGACCAGACTTGGATAATTATAAAAATACAAAGAAACCAGACATGACCAGACCAGACCAGTTCAGACCAGACCAGACCAGACCAGCAAATTACAGTCCAAGTAAAAACATACTCAGTTGCATATAAACTACGTAAATGAAAATAGTTCGTTAATTCCAACAAAACTATATAATCCTGTGGTATTAGGAAGCTATCTCTCTAGGGTTGCCGTAAGGCAACGCCTAGCCTGGTTGTCCGACTGTGATTGATTATGATCATGGCGCTGGTTTTTGTTATTACTTTTGGATTTTTCCGAATTGGTAGGACTGTAGGAGTGTTGGACGTGTGCATACTTCTTGCAGTTTCCAGAAATCGAAGCCGTGGGGGTGTGTTGTTCAGGGGAAGATGCGTATCATCACATGGAATTGCAGAAGGTTGGGGATTCTAGTAACGCTTCAGTGTCTGACAAATTTGGTTCAACAGAATCGCCCATCTATTATTTTCTTGATGGAGACAAAACTCAGATGTCAGCGGGCAAGGGAGATTATGCGTTCTCTAGAATACAGATCGGCGGTCCGTCCCCCTCCTGAGCCGCCGCCTTGGATTGATCGAGATGTCGGGGTGTGGAAGGTGAAATTTCAAGAAGTTTGGAGTATTTGTCCGTTATTTTATTTTTTATGGTTTCATGTTATGTTTGTTGAAGTATTTAGGTTTGGGTCTACAATAATGATTGTCAATTCTGCTAGATATTATGTCATTAGAATGATTTATATGGCCAGTGATTGTTGTGTCACACCCGCTTGGTGGTTAGCGATTCGTATTGCTCTTTCAGGGGTGATCATCTCAGAGTCTAGCCGTAGGGTTGATTGCGATAATTGGTTAGGGATAGTTTTTGTCAGGATTGGTCTTTTTGAGTCTGTTGTGACGATCTACTTCCTGATGATTTAATATAAGAGTTGAATTTGATGATAAAAAAACTACGTAAATTACAAAAAACAATGACCGATAGAGAATTTCACGTCGGCGGTGGCTTTTGGATCAATATTTTTGTTAGAAATTATACTTTCTAATGAAAAGATTCTTGTGGTAGACCCCATTTTTATTCTGTCGTTAGGGTTTTCTTCTTCGCTGTTGATTCTTTCGAGGAGAAGAAACACAAGGCAACATGATAGACTTTTCTTCTACACCTCGGGGATTGATTTCAATGGCAAATCTCAAGGAGCGAATTGGCGAGAGCAAATTGGCGAGCGCAAGAAGGATAAAGTTTCAGG